GGAAAGAGAAAAGGATGGCAACTTCGCATAACGGATCCAACATTACGTCCAACTTAACCAACCAGTTTGTACAGCCGCCGTGGCGCGTCGCGCTCTGGTCGGTTGCCTACAGCTCCGTGCTTGCGGTGGCTGTGTTTGGAAACCTTATCGTGATATGGATCATTCTTGCCCACAAGCGAATGAGGACAGTGACGAACTACTTCCTGTTAAACTTGGCGTTTTCGGACGCATCAATGGCGGCGTTTAATACTTTGATAAACTTTATCTACGCTGCCCACGGGGAGTGGTACTTCGGAGAAGCCTACTGCAAATTCCACAACTTCTTCCCCGTCACATCAGTGTTTGCAAGCATCTACTCCATGACTGCGATAGCTGTAGACAGGTGGGCTTATGAAATGATGCAAGAACAATATTTAACAAATGATTGATAAATCATCCCCGAGACACCTACCCAGCTTTTAATCGTTTTTTAAGAAGTAGCCTAATAATAAATTAACAGCCAATGTGTGTGTATTACTCTGTGGTATGGGTATACAGTATTCGCTGTACGTCTATAGAGCTATGGAGCTAGAATGTAATGCAGACACACCTTAGACATAAAAGAAGCAATGAACACAAACACAGATTATATATATATTATATTGTATTATATTATATAGTAGAAATAGGATAACAGCGTCACCCAAACACGTTCATCTCAAATGTTTTACGCATGATTTCTGTACATCTTGTTTGTGATTATTCCAGTTGGCTGTGCTGCCTTCCACCAGCAGTGGTGCAAGTTTAACAAAAGTCAAGTGGTGTTATGCCTTTTATGCTAAATACAGTATATATGTAGTTTGTACTGGCCTTGAACTGTATTGCTTTATATAGCAGTTTCTTTTAATTTGTCCCCCCTATTTATAGGCTATCATGAAGAACAGAAACACCTCTATGTATAACTTGGTACTGTTCAAAAGCCTCCAAAATGACTGAATCAACAGCTCCCTAAAATAGTCAGATCATAAAATGAACATTATCACCTTCATGAGGGGAGGGTTTATCACATTAATTTTAGTTGTGTACCTAAAAAAGAAAAACTACCAACTGAGTGTGTGTACTTAACCAGATTGATTTCACCACTTTACCTGTGCCCATTGTCATTTCAAGCATTCATTTCGTTCAGGTCCCAGACTAAGTGGTAGGCTAATTACTTGTGATTTCCATTATTATTCTGGAAACATGGCTGCCCAGCAGGGCGACTGCTATCTCACACACCGTTGGCCTGTTCCACATGTGTTCTTTATGCTTCACTGCCAGTGAATCATAGACGGAAGGAGTTGTTTTGCAAAGAATGTGCACTGCAGTGAATGACTGTATGTGCCAACACCCTAAAGAGGATCACCCTTCCTTCACTATATCATACTTGGACTTTCTTTCTTTCTCTCACAAACACTCATTGTCTCTATTTTCTTTGTCCTGTACATGTTCTTTCCTTCTTTCTTCTCTCTTCTTCAAATATTCCACAGTCAACTGTTAGTGGTATTATAACAAAGTGGAAGCGATTGGGAATGACAGCAACTGTACATGTTCTTTCCTTCTTTCTTCTCTCCGTCTCTTGCTCTTTTCTTGCCACTGTGGTTTCCAGTAATGCAGTGATGCAGTCATGACTATCAGCCAAGCTTTGATACTGATCAACAGACCGTCATATGTCATAATGTTTGAATAAAGGGATTAGACTGATTAAGGAGGCAGCCAAAAGCCAAACATAATGAAACCAAAAAGCATGGAGAAGCTGCAAGGAGGCAGAGTCTGTCTATATCTACTGTGCAGGTGTCACGGTATGTTGTGATAGTGTGTGCGGTGTTTTCCTCTTACAGTACTTCTCCTTGACACACAAAAGGAACAATGCATTTCCTTAGGCTGTGCTCATTTTGGCTCCTCTACACTATCTTCTGTGCATTTGTATTTTTGGTCAGCAGTGTCCATTCAATTCTGTCAACTGTGTACTGAGAGAGAGAACATCAGCTTGACCTACGTGGTGTAGATGTAACCCCCAGTCATGTTTTTCATAACCTCAGTATGGTGCTGTCTCCGCTCCGATGTCTTGAAATGGCATGAGGCCACAGTTCATGATCGTCTCCTGCTGACTATCTGTGCTGCCAAGTGTGTTCCCTTGGGCCGTGCAGCAAAATATGCACAAATTGCTCTGTGAAAGGTAACTGGCTAAGCCTTAAAGCTTTTTATCATAACACAGCAGGTGAACTTTTCAATTTCTCACACTATCATGTCGTTGTGCTGAAGCTGTGACTGTGTAGATAGAATTGAGTCATATAATTGTAATTCTGACTGTAATTCTTCACCTGTAGTGACATATATATATATATAGTATTTCTCACATAGTGTTTTTATATTTCTGGCTCTGAGTTTTGTGTTACACAACCACTTATATCCAATTTTCCTACATGTGCAGTATCCATATCATTGAATTCAGGTGTTCCAATCACTTCCATAGTTACAGGTGTATATAATCCAGCACCTAGGCATGCAGACCACTTCTACAAACATTTGTGAAAGAATGGGTTGCTCTCAGGAGCTCAGTGAACTCCAGCGTGGTACAGTGATAGGATGCCACCTGTGCAATAAGTCCAGTCGTGAATTTTCCTCGCTACTAAATATTCCACAGTCAACTGTTAGTGGTAT